CAGTTAATACAACTATTATTCAAACTTACGCACTAACCACCAAAATCAATAATGAATAATTTGAAGAATGTTACCAACTTCTTCAGTCTGTAATTGATCAAACATGCAATCAAGATTCATTCATAACTACTGGCTACTGGAATGTGAAAGTTAAAAACAAAGAGGAAGGATTTGTTGTTATGCCATCGAGTCAATTCAGACCCATAGCCACCTTGTATAGGGTTTCCAGCTGCTCCTTGGAAACCCTATACAGGGTTGCTATGGCAAGGTCAATGTGGAGTACACAGTAAAGACAGTGTCCATCAGAAACTACCCCCTTTCTGATGCCCTTGCCAGTGCAAAACTGACCACAGTCTTTGGAGAAGTATGGAGAGTCATTTGACAATAGAAGGCCCTTGTTCCAAAACAAAGGCTATTGACATTCTTTGACTCTTCTGAGCTAGCTGATGGCTGAGAGATGACTTTCCTGCCTTGAGACTGTGGAATTTGGGGAAGCCAAGGCTGTATAATTGCTGTTAGCTGTATGTACAGTTGTTATAAACCTAAAAAAAAAATTTAAAAAAATCCAGTCACTGTTTCTGTGAAACCAAGCTCCCAGCTGCTCTCTTAACTCCCCAGCACTTTGCCTCAGGCCTGTAGAAACTTAAGGAGCCTCGATGGTGCAATGTTGAAAGAGCTCAACTGCTAGCCAGAAAGTTGGAGGTTCAAATCTATCAGCCACTCCTCAGAAGAAAGATGTAGCCATCTGCTTGCATGCAGATTACAGCCACAGAAACTCTATGGGGGCAGTTCTATTCTGTCCTATGGCATTGCTATGAGTCACAATGGATTCAAAGGCAGTGAGAGTGGGAAACTCTAGGGAGTGGAGCATGTCTTAGTCATTACTGTTGTTGTTGCTAAGTGCTGACAAGTCAGGTCCAACTCATAGCAACCCTATGCACAACAGAACAAAACACTGCGCCATCCTTTGCCATCCTCACAATTGCTACATTTGAGGCCATTGTTACAGCCACTGTGCCAATCCATCTCACTCAGGGTCTTCCTCTTTGTCACTGACCCTCCACTTTACCTAGCATAATGTCCTTCTCCAGGGTCTGGTTCTTCCTTATAACATGTTTGAAGTTTGAGCATTCTGGCTGTACTTCTTCCAAGACAGATGTGTTCTTTTGGTAATCCATAGTACTTTTCATATTCTTCTCCAGTCCTCAAATTCAAATGCATCAATTCTTCTAAGGCCTTCCTTATGCACTGTCCAATTTTAACTTGTATATGAGGTGATTGAAAAGTCCAGGTCAGGCACAACTTAGTCCTCAAATTGTTATCTTCACTCTTTAACATTTTAAAGAGGTCTTCTGCAGCAGATTTTCGGAATGAAATACGTTGTTTGATATCTTGATGGCTGCTTCCATGAATGTTGATTGTGGACCCAAGCAAAATAAAACCTTTGGCAACATCATTTTTTTTTCTCTGATTATCATGATTGATTTGTCCAGCTGTAAGGATTTTTGCTTTCTTTGCAATGAGGTGCAATCCATACTGAAAGCTGTATTCTTTGATCTTCATTAGTAAGTATTTTAAGTCCTCTTTGCTTTCAGGAAACAAGGTTGTATTATCTGCATACTGTAGGTTGTTAATGGCTCTTTCTCCAATTCTAATGACACATTCTTAAGTAATTCAGTTTCTTGTATTATTTGCTCAGCATTCAGATTGAATAAATATGGCAAAAGGATATAACCCTAGTGTACAGTTTTCCTGCATTCAGTATCCCCTTGTTCTATTTGAACAACCACCTCTTTGTCTATGTACAGGTTCCTCATGAGCACAATTAAGTATTCTGGAATACCCATTCTTTGCAGTGCTCTTCATAATTTGTCATGATCCACACAATTGAAAGCCTTTGCATAGTCAATAAAGCACATGGCTGCTTTCAGCCATGATCCATCTAATGTCAGCATTGATATCCCTCGTTCCACATTCTCTTCTGACTCTGGCTTGAATTTCTGGCAGCTCCCTGTTGATGTACTGATGCAACTGCTTTTGAATATTCTTCAGCAAAATTTTACTTGCATGTGATACTAATGATATTGTTTGATGATTTCAGTAAATAACCCTTCTCTTCCCTGCCTGAAATTTAGATACACTCAGAAATAAAAGAGGGGCCATGGAGACCAAACTATCACTTGATTTTTTTTCAGATAAGGCTGTTACAGGATTTAGCTATTGCATGAGACCAAATGGTCCTGCTAAGTGAATCCCGCAGCAAGCAGCTTCACCCACCATACAAAGACCTCCCAGGACTAGGTAGGCCTCCCCACCATGGGGAAGAACAGACTGCTTGGATAACAAGTCTCTTCCAGGAGAAAAGGGCAGGCTGGGAATGCATTTAATACATTTTAAAGAGCCTTGCTGATTTTTTAATCCTGGCTTTTTTTCCCCCCAACTTAATTTTGGCCACTGTAGATTAAGCCATAAATGATTCTGGAATAGAAAAGGAGAATGGTAACCATGGAATGAGAAAAAAAAAGTGTTTTACCTCCTAGAATTAACCTCGCAGATGGCTTAGATCACAAAACTTCAGAAAACCACAAGGATGGAACCTCAGCCATTAGGTATCTTGATCAGTCTGTCCATTTTATACATGGGGAAACTGAGTCCCAGGGAGAAGAAAGGACTTGCTCAAGGTCACATAATCTTCAATTTAGGGTTCTGTTTATTTAAATCTATCATTTAGGTGATACATAATATTAATTAATATTATGACACACTCTCTAGGGCAAGAAAAATATACATTTTGCCTCTGATACCTGGAAGACCTTCCCAGGCCCACCCTGGAAGAATGCTGACTTAAACAGAATCCTGGGGTCACAGCCCTGTAACAGTTTACCCCAAGGATGCCTTGGCACAGGGCTATAATCGTAAATTCAGGAAACCCAGTCCTTGCCTAATTCAATTCTCTCTGCGTAATTAAAGAGGGAGAAGTGCAATGTCAGGAGGAAATATGCATTTAATACATTTTAAAGAGCCCTGCTGATTTTTTAATCCTGACTTTTCCCTATCCCCTGACTTAATTTTAGTCACTGTAGATTAAGTCACATAAATGATTCTGGAATAGAAAAGGAGAAAAGTAGCTGAGAAACTGTCCTTAACGTTTCATCTTCCCCTGGCATCATTTTAGATTTTAATTTTTAATCTTGGCAAGGATGTGCAAGAGGTTTCAGGCTACCAATGAGCAAAATCGTTTTAAAATTAACAGACAGATTCTTTTTTTCTTTCTTCCCCTAAAACTACCAACGAATGAAGACCTCTCCCTGTGCTGATTAGAATGGAAGGCATTTCTAATTACTCATTAGCGGAATGCAAACAAAAATATTCCAAAGCAAGTTCTTATTTGAATTCACTTCTAAATCCATTACATTAAGCTGCTGGGGGACTAGCAGGAGACTGGCAAGGAAGCTCTGTCTTTAACCCCAGGGAAATTTCAGTTAAATGCTTTTGTAACATCATCACCATCTACTCAGGGGAAAACATCACCATTCAAACCTCCTATTTGCCTCAGAGTCTGGAGCCGCTACACCAAGAAAGGAAGAAACCAGTTGCGTTATTTATGAGCTCCTTCCCTTAGTAGTTTTGAACCACCATGAGCTAAGCATGTTTGTTACTGCTCTGGAGCGATCACTGGGGGCGTTAACCACGCTCCGCCGAGGTCGGCCTCCCACGCCCCCTAGCGGACCGGTGTGGTGACGCAGCTCCAGCTTCTGACTGCAGAAAAGCCGGCCACCAGCAGACAGCGCCACATCCCGACGCTGTCCACTTGTGGGAAGCCTCGGCAGCGCTCCTCGCAAGCCTTCTGAATCCATCCGGCGCCCAGCCAGGTTGCGGGCGAGGGGATTCTAGCCGAGGAACCAGGGTTTGAGACTACTGCATAACGTCACACTGGGAGCTACCAGCAGCTGCCTGGACCTGAGCCCGGCAGGCGCACGCGTCTTTGGGGCGGTCAGCGGCAGTGCAACTTCCCTAGGGAGCCAACTTTAAGGGCCAGCCTGCGGATTCGGTGCAGGTAGTTGGGTGCTGAGCGTGTGTTGGGAGCATGGCTAGCGCTGCTGGGGCCGTCGGGATCAGAATTGGTGTTGGTGAGGTGCCCTGCACTCTTGGCTTCTGCGAGCGCACGGGTTGTTCTGAGAGATTGTAAAGTCACTGTTCCGGACCGAAGCGCCGAGCCCTTGAGTTCCTGAACCTTCGAGGCTGCTGGGTTGGGAGGATCTCCGCGGTTAGTGTCTAGTCCAGAAGTCCTGGAAACCGGGGTTAGATAGGTATTGAGTTAGGAGGGACAGCTGGACAGGTGTCCTCGGAAGTGGCTGTTAAGAAGTTCAGAGGATGCTGCCTGAGCGTCTTAGAAACAGGAGGTTGAGAAGAGGTGGGGGGTGAGGCAGGTCATGGCTTAGGGGTTCCCAGGCAAGCGGCTGTTTAGGAATCTCCTGAGGACATAACTAGAGTGTCTATTAGGGGAGGTAGCTGGTTTGGGGTTGCTGTGGGCAGTGGCTGTGTGGAGAGCTCCTAGCCAAGGTAGCTAGTTTGGGAATCGTTGGGGTAGGTGCCTGGGTTGGCAGTTCCAGTCCTGGAGGAAGGTGTCTGATTACGACCCCTTTCTGTACTCCATTGGAGGGGGCTGAGTATCTTAAGGAGAAGGCGGTGGCTCAGAAGAGGTATCCCAAACGAACATTCCTGGGGTAGTGGAAGAACAATCTCAGGGCCGACAATTGTGTCTTGGGGTCCAGATGATTTGGGTTTCCTGGGAAGGGGAACTCTGCTTCACACAGGCGTCCGGAGAGAAACAGGGCCTCCTCCTCACTCTTTCCTGGTTTGTTTCAGGGTTAGACGCAGCAGACCTGTCCATAGGTCTGGGGAAGTTGGAGCTCCAGGCACCCCGCAGGCAGTCAGGACTGCGCATCTGGCCCTGCCCGGCCGCGCCCCACCTTAAAGGGCGCACGGAGGCCAAGATCATGGAGGGCGCACTTGCAGCCAACTGGAGTGCCGAGGCGGCGATCAACGCCAGTGTGGCTCTGCCCGGGACCGAGGGCAACCTTACGGCTGGGCCGCCGCGCCGCAACGAAGCCCTGGCGCGCGTGGAGGTGGCCGTGCTGTGCCTCATCCTCTTCTTAGCACTGAGCGGTAACGCGTGCGTACTGCTGGCGCTGCGCACCACGCGCCACAAACACTCGCGCCTCTTCTTCTTCATGAAGCACCTTAGCATCGCTGACCTGGTGGTGGCAGTCTTTCAGGTGCTGCCGCAGCTGCTGTGGGACATCACCTTCCGCTTTTATGGGCCCGACCTGTTGTGCCGCCTAGTGAAGTACCTGCAGGTGGTAGGCATGTTCGCCTCCACCTACCTGCTGCTGCTAATGTCGCTAGACCGCTGCTTGGCTATCTGTCAGCCACTGCGCTCCTTGCGCCGCCGTGCTGACCGCCTGGCCGTGCTGGCCACGTGGCTCGGCTGTTTGGTGGCCAGCGTGCCGCAGGTGCACATCTTTTCCCTGCGTGAGGTGGCCGACGGCGTCTTTGACTGCTGGGCGGTCTTCATCCAGCCCTGGGGTCCTAAGGCCTATGTCACGTGGATCACACTCGCTGTCTACATCGTGCCAGTCTTCGTGCTCGCCGCTTGTTACGGCCTCATCAGCTTCAAGATCTGGCAGAACCTGCGGCTTAAGACGGCAGCGGCGGCGGCGGACACGGCCACAGGCGGCGTGGGGCTCACGCCTCTGGCGCGCGTCAGCAGTGTCAAGCTCATCTCCAAGGCCAAGATCCGCACCGTTAAGATGACCTTCATCATCGTGCTGGCCTTCATTGTGTGCTGGACGCCCTTCTTCTTCGTGCAGATGTGGAGCGTCTGGGATGCAGATGCGCCCAAGGAAGGTAGCTCGCAGAGGGAACCAGGAGAAGGGAGCGTGGCGGGACGCCAGTTCAGCTGCCGCCACAGGATGTCCAAGGTTCTAGGGAGAACCTTGGAGAGAATCAGCGGGTTTTGGAATCGGGTAGAGCTGGCTTTAAGTTTTGGCTTATCATCCACCAGCTAAGTGACTTTGGGCACACTACTACCTCCCAGAACCACATATGTCTCTTCTGTGTTTTTGTGTTAGCAGTACCAGGGCAGTAGGGGGATGTCCTGAGAAAGATGCAAGTAATACGCTGGGCAGCAAGGTCGGCGGTTCCAACTCACCAGCCTCCCCTTGGAAAACCTTCCCACAGGGTCACTATGAGTCAGAACCGACTCGAGGGCATTTAACAACAACAAAGTCCTTAGTATAGATCTTGGGCTAATTATGGGGTTCAAGACAAGGTAACTGATGAACAGAAACACTTATCTCAGTTAGCATGTGGTGGAGGTAAATTTCAAAACCCAGCCTAAACTCAAACCCCTTCCACTTTAAGAGGCTTCCAAGTTATGCTCTCTCTGCCTCAATTCAAAGGGTTTGGTTTGGATAGGGGTAATCAAGGAAGGTGGGTGATTCGTACAACCAAGCACCTGGATGATACCTGGTAGGGTGCTGAGCAGAGGTGAAGATGAATTCCTTAGAAAAGTGGAGGCTAGGAGCCCTTCCTGGTAGAGAGGAGAATATAAAAGGCCGCAGGAAGACTGGAGACTTTCAGCACCTGGGGTACACCTGCTCTGGGAATGGGGAAAGGGAAGGAGCGGGACTCCAGGTGGGCAGAACTGGCTGCCCATTCCTTCTCCGCCCCTGGCTGGCTGTCCCTTGTTGTTGGCTGGTTGTAGAGTTTGGAAGGTGTTGGGAGGCAGGGTGGAGATTAGGATTGGGGATGGGGGCAGGGGATGGTTTTGGGGAAACAAAGAGCACCCCAGGGCTTGAGACTGGAGATCCAGGCAGCTCCCCCCACCCCACACCCCTCAGTCCAGAAGTTCATTTGGAAAGAGGAGGGGGGATGGTTGGTGTTGGCACTGGGAATGATGAGAATCTCAAATGCTTACAAGGAAGGACCAAAGGTTGTGTTTTCACCTTTCCTGTCCTTGAGATACATCTTTTCTGGGTATGTCTACAGTTGCTCCCAACAGTCTCAAATTCAAGACCACTGTTGAAACTGAAATCAAAATCCCAGCCTTGTTTCAGTTTGATAACTTTGCTCCCTTCCTGAAGCCCTAGACTGCTCTGGCTTTTCTGAGCTTTCTCTTATTAGTCCAGTGTTTTCTATTGTGGCCAGGTCACTTGCCATACCATATTTCTTGAGTGTCTGTGGTGGATAAGGACTGCTCAGAGCATGCGAGGAGGGAATAGGGCTGGGCACAAGCCAGCGGAGACTGTTTCTAAGTGAGGCATCCAGCCACACTTGTTTACTTGGCAGTATTGGAAGAAGGTAGACCCAGGTATTTGAGCAGACTCAAATACCAGCTGTGAGGAAATGAGAAGGATGTTTAGAGCAGACATGGGGAAGACCTGAGGTCCAGCTCTCCCTCCAGTGAGCCAGCAGTGAATCTTTCTCCCATTTGATTCTTAGTTTCTTAATTTTAGAATGAGCACATTTCAGCATTCAGTTAATTCATTCCACGGATACTCTGAGTTCCTCTACATTCCTTGTCAGCTCTCCTGACTGTGTGTCTCTTTCCCGTCCCCTGTCCTGTGCCTCCTCTAGGGAATCCTTGGTGTCCACCCCCTCTCCTGCTATCCCTTTTCTCACACTTTCTGTCCTCCCTAGAGAATGACATTATATGGTCAACTTATATGTAACTCATTGAATGATGTTTGGTTCTTTTCTACATTTTGAAAGTACTCCAGAGAATTCCCTTATCTAATCTAAAAAACTAAACAGAAATAAATGAAAAAGAGAGTCGCTAAAATGGAAAATAATGGCCTTTATGCATATGTGGTCCCCGAGGACTTCCTAGCAGTTGAGATCTGCAGTAGATCTGCCCAGGCTCAAGGAGTCTGGGATAAATGGACTTTAGGGACATCACACCCTACTTCCGTTTGCTTCTTTGCTAATTCTAAGCAAAGGTCGAGGTGGTGGGAGGATTCACGTGCAAAACCAGAATACCTGCTTGGCATTCTCTACTGGGGGCAGGTCAGCAGAGGAATTTATGATGCTGTTGCTGCCAGTACGGCGTCCCCTGCCGCCCTGAGTTGCCAGGAGCTTGATCTCATCCAAGTTTGAGAGACCTGTGGGGCGCTGCCCTAGAGAGTCAGGATGAGGGTGGACGCAACACTTCCTTGTGCCTACTTGGTATTAATTTATGTAAGTGCCAACCAATAGCAGGCTGGGCCTCAGAAATATGTTTGTAGTCACTCTGGAGGATCTCAGCAAGTCTTATGGAGGGAATAAAAGAGAAATAGTCTCAGGTTACTCAAGAGATTCTGAATGGAAGAGCGGAACACATGCCCAGAATTCACAAGAACTGCATCAGGGTGACTTGCTCAGCTCAGCTCCCAGGGAGCCCACTGCTAACTAGCTGACATGATTCAAGGAAGCCCCTGGGTGGAGCTGGTTCAAAGGGAGACAGAGGGACAGAGGCAAAGGCAGACAATCTTCCTGTCTGTCTGTTTCATCATGAAAACTCCTGGAGGGCTGGCAGCCCATTAAACACTAATGTCAGATAAAAGGCAACAGAGAGGGTGGCAGACCACTCCAGCCAGAACAGCTTGGACCTCCTGGCCCATGGCAGGACCCTAGGTCCCTCCCTCCATCAGTGTGCCCTCTCTCTGGCATCTTCTAGAAGCACAGGTGTTCCTTTTACATGCCTTTCCCTTGAACTCCCTCCCCCTGGCTTTCTCACCCCCTTCGCTCAGCACTCATAACTTCACCACCAAGTCAAGCACCATCAATATGGGCTTAAGATTCATCTTGCTTCAAAAATAACTTGGGGAAAGGCACAAAATTTCAGGTAACAGGGCAAGAAAATAGATATGAGGAAATTGGGATTAAAGAGAGGACAGGCTAGGAAAAGAATAACCGCCCCCCAAACCAAAGCTGTTGTCATGGAATCAATGATAACTTAGGCTGACCCTGTGTTATAGGGTAAAACTGCTCAGTAGGGTTTTCTTGGCTGTCAACTTTACAGAAGTAGGCTGACAGGCTTTTCTTTCCCGGGCTTCAAACTGTTCACTTCCAGCTTGGTGGTGTTGCTGTTTTTAACTGCCATCAAGTCGGTTCCAACTCATAGTGACCTTGTTAGCGTTTCTGAGGAGCAGCTGGTGGGTTTGAACTGCCTACCTTGCGGTTAGCAATCCCATGCTTATCCTATAGCACCACAAGGGAACAAGTTTAGTAGTTGAATGCAAACCATTGCACCATCCAGGGACCTTTGTTGTTGTTAAGTGCCATTGAGTCAATTTTGACCCATAGCGACCCTGTAGAGGGTTTGCAAGGAGCTTAGAAAAATCATGTTGTTTATGTGCACAACAGAATGAAACACTGCCAGGACTTGCCCTATCCTCACAATTGTTGTATTTGAGTCCATTGTTGCTACCGTTTTGTCAATCCATATTATGGAGATTCTCCTACTTTTTGTTGGCTTTCCACTTTACCAAGTATGATGTCATTCTCCAGAGACTGGTCTTTGCTGATAACATGTCCGAAGTATGAGAGACGATGTCTCACTACACTTGGTTCTAAGGAGCAGTCCAGATGTACTTCTTCCAACACAGGTCAGTGTTCTTCGCCAACACTGTAATTAATCCAAATGCTTCGATTCTTCTACAGTCTTCTGTATTCATCATCCAACTTTTACCTGCATATGAGGCAATTAAAAAAATATGGCTTGGGTCAGTCAAACAAACCTTTGTCATCAAAATGACATCTTTGCTCTTTAACAATTTAAGGAGATCTTTAGTAGCAGATTTACCTAATGTAATGCATTAATTTATTGACTGCTGCTTCCATGAGTGTTGATTGTGGATCCAAGCAAAATGAAGCCTTCGAACCTCAATTTTTTTCTACATTTTATTTGTTTATTATTATTGTTAATGGTCCAGTTGTGAGAATTTTTGTTTTCTTGATGTCTGAGATGTACTCCATACTGAAGACTATATAGTCTTTTATCTTCATCAGTAAGCACTTTAAGTCTTTTTCACTTCCAGCCGTTAACAAGTCTTCCTCTAATCCTGATACCACCTTTTTCTTCATATAATCCAGTTCTGGGATGATTTGCTCAGCGTACAGATTGAATAAGTATGATGAAAAACTACAACCCTGGTGAACACCTTTCCTGATTATAAACCATTCAATGTCCCCTTGTTCTGTTTGAATGACTGCCTTTTGGTCTATGGGTCTATGTACAGTTTCCTCATGAGCACAATGGAGTGTTTTGGAATATACATTCTTTATAATGTTATTCACATAATTGAATGCCTCATCGTAATCAGTAAAAGTCAGTAAAGCACAAGGAAACATATTTCTGGTATTCTCTGTTTTCAGCCAAGATCCATCTGACGTCAGTAATGATATCCCTCACACCACATCCTCTTCTAAATCCAACTTGAATTTCCAACAGCTCCCTGTCGATGTACTGGTGCAAGTTTTAAAAATTATCTTCAGCAAAATTTTACTTGCATGTGATATAATGATATTGTTTGATGATTTCCACATTCCAATGGGTTACTTCTCTTTAGAGTGGACACAAATATGGATCTCTTCTAATCAGTTGGCCAGGTAGCTCTCTCTCCATATTTCTTGGCATAGATGAGTGAGCAACTCCAAGTCTACATCAGTTTGGTGAAATACTTCAATTTGTATTCCATTAGATCCTAAAGCCTTGTTTTTTGCCAATGCCTTTAGTACAGCTTGGACTTCTTTTCATATCTCGGTTCTTGATCATATTTTTGAGTATTGATCAATTATTTTTGGTATAGTGACGCTGTATTTCTTCCATCGTCTTTTGTTGCTTCCTGCATTAATCAGTGTTTTGC